AAAAAAAAAAAAAAAAAAAAAAACATATGGCAATTAAAAACACCTAAAAAGAGAAAACAAGCTTCCACGTTCTCGATACCAGGCGTTGGCGTTGATCGAAAATTTCAAATAAAAGAATTTTCGTTCCGTTCGAAAATGTACCTATGGGAGAAACACGCATTATAATCCAAGTGGAACAAACCGCGACTGGTCAGACCCGTGAACGAACCTACGTATAAAGCTGAAAGGCAAGCCATTATATACGCGCGATTCGGTCCACTGTAAAACATTTATAACACCCAGTACATACGCATTGTGCCCAGTGGCCTGTCAATCAATGTGAGTATAATAATAATAAAAAAAAAAAAAAATTTCCATGTACGAACATTCGTAATGTAATCACAGATAAGAAGATAAGAGGTCAACAATGACACACACGTATATATATGTATATATAGCCGCGAATATATTTCCCCTCTGTGAAAAGAAAAAAAAAAATAGCGTACAACGTAATTTCGTATACGTTAAAAGGGCGACAGATTCGAAAATAAATTCCTGAAACAAGTCCTGCGGTTTCGGCTCGATATTTCAAAGCCATTATTATGTCGCCCAGGATATTCAGGAGCTAATAGACGGCGAATCGATACTGCACCGAAGGCATCTGTAAATACAGACTGTTTATTATGCCGCGCAAAGGCAGCATCCTCCCAGATAGCTTGCACGAAGACAGAGAGAGAGAGAGAGAGAGAGAGAGAGAGAGAGAGAGAGAGATTGCGGCCGAGGGAGAGGGGGTGGTCCCAGGGTGTCGGCAACAGCTGTGAAATGTTTATGAAGGCCCGACTAATTTATCACACTCACACAGAGTTACCACGCGTGCTGACTTTATCACACTTGCGCCATGCTTATACACGAGGGAGAGGAATCGATACGCCGCTGAACGGAAACAATGCGATGCGTATAAATCCGAGGAAAAAGACCAGCCGACCGAGCCAGTCGACAGGAAACTAACGCGTGAAGATAGCCCTGGTCGTTCAGCACGTACGAATCGCTTGCCGAGTTCAGCAAACGCTTTAATCGTTCATTCTTGAACGTCACTTCGATTCACCCCACCCGTCGTTGCTCTCTCTTAGGGTACGAGCTGAATGAAGAGAAAAAAAAGAGAGAAAAAAAAGAAGATTCGTCAGACTACCGGGGAAAGGAGCTGGAGAAGTTACAGTTACGTGACGAAAGGTGATAGGATACTATGTATTACAGCGTGTCAATGTTTATATATATATATATAAACACACTTGAATGTAAAGTAGAATTACAATGCTCGGTGCGTTAAGTTCAGCAGCAACATCTGTATATACAAAGTTACGTACGAGGTTCCGAGCTTTTTAAGGACTCACAATGAAGGAGTAAAGAAAAGAAAAGAAAAAGAAAAAGAGAAAGCAGCAGCACCCACCATAACGTCGAACATTGTCTGAACTGCAGCTACCAGTGAAAAGCACTCGATCTTAGTACACTACACGTGTACTGTTAGCGAGCCAGAGCTTAAGTGGTTGGATTTCAAAGATTTTTCAAGTACGGCAACAGGCAGGAGGTTTAGGAGGTCATTCAGCCATCTTGAAGAGTCGGCTCGATCATTGTCAAACGGGGGCCCGTAATAAATAACGCGGAAGCGGTGGATTCGATCGGGCTCATTTATCGCGGTGGCGAAATAACGAGTGCGTGGCCAAGCGGATAAAATCGTACGAGCCATGTGGCCCACCTCGTTCCGTTCTGTCGAGAAAAATTGGGGCTGATACGGCGGAGTTAGGGCAGCTGACAGAACGCACGACAACCGATGACTTTCAGACTTGCCGCTGGAACACGCGTTTATCCCTAATCGACGTAGCGAGTTTAAAAAGAAAAAGTAAAAAAAAAAGAAAAAAAAGACGAGAACTTTTTCTTTTGCTCGAAGTGGGGAGTGATGGTAAAAAAAAATAATAACAATAAATAATGAACCCCCGTAATTGTAATTTCGTGCCGATGCAACCCTCCGGGGTACACGCGATAATTTTTTAATAAGTATTATTACGAACCACGCCATTTTTCTTGTTTTTTTTTTTTTTAATATTTTTCGTTACTCTCGATATATAATTTCGAAATATATATCTATACGGTAGAATCCGATTTACGGATTCATTATTATTAATTATCATTAAACACTGTACTGAGCTTATCGAGCGACGATAATAATTGCACTTAGAATTTCAGGATTGTCACGTCGTACCGTGTCGTATTGGATTCCGCGGGATCGCGTAAATAATGGTGAAAAATCTGCGTGACCGTATATCCTGATTATCGAAGGAATATAATAGTGATGTATGCTTTGGCATTTACCTGCGAGCTGCCAATTACCGTGTTGACCGAATGACGTTGATTTGTACCGACTCTCCATTTTCCTTCATACGGTCGGGCCCAAGGGCTGATCCACGCCCACGGTCCGTCCCTGTGAACAAAATCAAACGCACGAGTCGCAGGTGACTATGAAGGGACTGTACGTTGTGTCAAATGGTAAATAAAATATGTAATTGTTACGTAACCGACGTTACAAATCGTTATCATTCCATCCACGTTGTCAGATCCGTCTTATCCATCCACGGTCCGAGTCTTAGGTCTCAATCAATTTTCCATAAATTTATTTGGTCGTTCGTCTTCTTCGTTCAATCTTTTTTACCGACCGTCACAAGGAGCGTCGTCGTTTCGCGGCAGGCGATCGCGTGTCGAAACTTCCTACCTTCCTACGTACGTATACGTACACAGCGTGACGCAAGAAATGTTCTACACAAGGCAGGAAGAAGAAGAAGTTTTCCAAAGGCGGCAGCAGAGCATAGCTAAAGGATCGCGCGTGTCTGCTAAATACGCGTACGCCGAGCGAATACTAAACACTTTGGCAACGGCTCATTTCCCGGTCGGTAACGTGCGTTACCCACGGGCTATTTATATTGGCGAAGCCACCCAAAGATTCCTCGTAGGATACCGCACGGAATAGAGTTACGCCCTAATTTCCGTTTCGACGGGAAGCAACTTCTCTTTTTATATGCTTCACGCCGTACCGTGTTGATAGATACTAAATGTCAGTATACTGGGGCATTGCAAGGATCACGCGTTACGTACGTAACGTATTATAGGTTCCCCATGTTTATAATTTACGAGTTTCACCTTTCATAAATCTCCGCGGGGTGGCGCGTCGTTCGCTCGGTCGGACTACCGTCCCCCTATAGGGCCTGCCAGATTTTTCCTCGGCTGATATACATACGTCGTAGAGGGAGTATATGGGCCCAATTTTTTTTCTATCTTTCATTTCACGATTGTCAGATTGATCGAAGATACGTTACGTCACGCTCGATCGATAAATAAATATCGATTGATTCGAAGGACGGACAGACACGTGTTTGTATCGCCTACGATGTCTGTCGTGGAAAGAAACAAAAATTGTAATTTTTTTTTGTCGGCTATCCACCGCTAAGCTGATAAGAATTTCAAAGCTCGATCCGCCTAGACTCTGGATATAAAGTTTTCGTAACTCTGTTAAATCTTCTCGATCATCCAAGACCGACGTCCGAGTTATTCGCTCCGGGCAGGAAGCAGCCTGGAAACGTTATATCTTCCAACTGTCCAAACGGAACGGACAAGATTGGTCTTATAAAATTTATCCAAACCTCGTTTTTCCCGGCGATTTAATATTTTTTCGAGAGCAAATTCTTTTCTACGCTTTTTCAACCATCTATATAGAACCCACGTATGATTAATGCACCAGCTGCAACTCTACGGTACGCACGTGTACGGAATCGAACAAAGGTGAAAATTTCAGCCGGTATGCAACGTGGTATCCTCCTTAGTCAGATTCCTATGGGACAGCCCGTAGAATATACAGACGCATTATGAAATGCGTGGTACGTCCTCTGGGGTAAATAAGTTCTCGCCTGGAATACATCAGGCAACACGTGTCCCGCAAAAAGCAGAGTTCTGCGTAACAATAAGTTGATGGAAATATAGTGCTCCGCGGGGAATCAAAACAGTATTAAAACTTTTCCACCCTTTAATGCGTCCAGCTTCATCATTTTATTTTCAAAGTCGTTCGGTGTCCCTATACCGCCAAATCGTACAACGCATTCACTTTGCCTGTTTCTAATATCCAAGCCGTCCAACGTTTATCGGTTGAACGAAACAAAAAATCTCCCACCGCCCCTCACCCGACCTCCACCATAATACGAAAGTATATGAATGCATAACACGAAAAAAAAAAAAAAAACCTAAAAATTACTATCGACCTATACCACGTTACGCCAAGGACGATAAATGATCCCTGTAATAGTTTCCGTACACGCACTATAGCCTTGGCTAACGTAATATTACATAAACCATATTAGATTGCAGGAACGGTTAGTGGCCGTGTAATAATCAATAATTCAAAGGTGGCCAAAGCTATGCGTGCCATAAAACTCATATTCTCTCTCGACCTCCCACAGCCCGATCTCGCCGAAATAAATCAAACAATCAAAAAAGATTACCATACCGTTCAAACGATAGGCATCCGTCCAGGTAGTCTGCATTAATTTCAATCTGACTAATTTAATCGATCACATATCGTATCACGTGTATAATTACGAGACTTTCCTATATACATAGATATACAAGCACGATGCACCAGGATCAATAATTATTCTTATCTACGACCAAACTATCGTCATTGATTCCAAGAGATCGTTCCGAGTCTGATCTTCGAGATTGTTGAATTAAAAAACAAAAAAAAAAGTTTTATAAAACTTTCCCGAAGCCTTCGTTCTTTTTTTTCCTCGTTACACGAAGCTTCGATCGATCGTCACCAGGAGCGCTCCTTGCTGTTAACGAACAATGCCGAAGCGAACGAATCCTCGTTAAACTAGAAAGGGGTGACGAGGTACCTAAGTATACCTATCGCTGGAAATATCGATCTCGAGCTTCTTCCAGGAAGTTAGCAAATCAACCCTCTTTCAGACTTTCGCACGATCCCTTCGAATATGGGCTCTTCAAAATAATTATTTAAATAACATAACCAACGTATAAACACCGTACGGATCTTTCCATCGAGCAGACAAGCGCCAAAGTGAATTCTAATCTTAATTTACCTGCACCGCAAATTCGTACCACGTTTTCAAGCCTCGTAAGGTTTAACGAAAATTTTTCCATCGGCGATGGGGCAGTCTGTGACGTGCGATCGTTATCACAGGGACATCGATAGTATACGTGATTCTGGTATTTCAATCTATCGGCTAATTAACAGGGTTGCATTATATACGATAGGGGTTGGTTTATTGTTCCCAATGGACGATTGCGGAAATGAGTGATTTTAACAAAGTGAAGTAGTGCGCAAGCAAGGGTGTAGAAGGAAAGGTGAGTGACGGGTGTGGGCAGGCTGGTTAGAGTCAGGCAAGGGGATGATATATATATATACGTATATAAACCCTGGCTAATTAAATCGAATAGGTCGATATACTCGTTTAGCCGTCATGAAACTAGCTTTTCCGACGAGCCAACCCTTACACACTATTTTAGCAGATATTACGATGAAGTGGGGTGGTCCAGGATGCCCGAGCTATGAGGGAGTGATTATTAGGGATGGGATCAAGATGGCTTCACGCGTGAAAAGGGAGAGGCTTGGAATTTTCATGAAAATACGAAGTCTTCGAAGTGAAACCCGCTACGCGATAAGAGCATCGAAAGTTCTTTGATTATCTTTTAGATAAGTTCGAGAGTTATCAACTTAATCAGATTGTAACGAAATTTCATGTAAATAAATTATCAGTCCTACCACGGTTATTGGATTGGGCGTTAACGTTCCTTTAATTTCGTTAATTAACTAGGACTCAATAATAATACTCGAGCCGGTTCTAATTAATGAATAACTGAAGCATACATATATGGAGGACTGTTAGAATTTGTCACCGACCTGAGGAGAAGGATATTACAGGGTTAATTTACTCAAGCAATAATGCCGGAATCATAAGCCCCAGGTGTTACCTCCGCGAATCTTCAACCCTCATAAACAGCCGTAGGAGAAGGCGTGAGCGGAACGTCCGTATCCTGCGCTGCTTGCTGCGTTACAATATCAGAGAGAGAGGGACAGAGAGAGAGAGAGTACACAGGTTAGATATAGTTTGTCGAAACGAGCCAGAAGGGGTAAAACCGTTAGCTATACTGTGTATAGCAATTTCTCTGCAAACCTACTTCAATTCCCAAGGCTAGTTTCCATCCAGTTCTCCATGACGCTCGCCAGTAATTTGTACCTGACCGACGCGGTCCCATTTCCCTATATCATTTTTTATAACCCAACCGCGAATCTAGCGTCGCGCCTGCCATTTCTCGAGATTAATCCAAACCGAACGAAAGGAACGATAGAGAAGCAGTGACAGTCTTCACATTGATAATCAAACCTAAAACGTTCGTTTGTAATACAGATGGGAATTCATACTACCTTTATATACGTATAGGTACGTGCAATAAAAAATATTTAACTAAAGATACGAATAAAGAGCTTTTTATGAAATTCCATGTGCTACATATTATTTATGGAATATTGTACGTATATCTATATACACAATAATTAAGGCTTTCCAGGTGTCGTGACTCTGGGCTTATGGTTAGGAACTGGTTGAATGTTACTTAGCATGGCGAAAAGCGATACCGGAGTTGTAACGTGTCGCGTTTGAAAAAATTACGTAATGCGCAATTCCACGATTACTTCGTGGCGAGGTATATGTATAAGCATAGTGTGCTATACCTACTGCAACTGTGTAACCGGGCTTACCCGTGTTCATTGTACTTGAAAGTTTTTCGAATTCTGCTTTATGCTTATGAGTATGGATAAAGAGTGGTCGTAGTTACGACGCGCCAGCAATTTTAGATAGGAACACTTTTTAAGCCGCGGCTTCGCATTGAAAGATAAGCCATTATAAGTCGTTCACGTGCGATGGCTGGCTCTGAAGTTGAAAAAGGTGTCTCAGCGAGTTCCCGTATCGTGTAATAACTACCGGAAGCTTTTATCCGGAGCTTTTACTCTGTCGGTCATTACATATACAGTATAGATACACGCGTATCGATTTATACTTTCTTGAACGTCCTTTATAAGAACTTTATAAGGTCCGAGCGTTAAACGCATTTTTAAAAAATAATACGAAATTCGCTACGAATGTAATAAAGTTTTGATAAAAAAAATTCGTCTCTTGAGTAATCCCAACTTTTTGTATATGTCTCTATGTGACATACTCGACTGCGAAGAAACTTTACTAATAGAATATTTAGTCAAAACTGAGGTATCGAGTGGTTGGACTTTAGGATATGTAATAATACGATGATTTTGCGCAGACCACTTTCTGAAGGGATTACGTATATGTGTTGCGTATTTTCAATATCGAGTGTCAGTGAAATCGCTGTGTTGAAACATCTATTTCGTAGAATTTAGTCAACAGAACCTACTGCGTCTTAGCTTGAAACGTACGTGAGGTTAATAGGAAAAAAGGGAGAAAGAAACAATCGTCCGTCTGTCAGTTAAAGATACCTTTCGAAATACACTGCCAGTACTACCAGCATGGTTGTGTCTCACTTAATAGCATGCAGATCAACAGAGACATCACTACAAACATAATACTGGTAGCAAATTGGAACATACCTTCAGTCAAAATGTCATTGCGACCGAAAATAAAACGTACGTACATATGTGAAGACTTTCTCCTCGTGTCGTGTCCTTCGTCACTCCCTCCTTCGTTCTTCTTTACTCTTCTGTGCTTTTTTTGCTTTTCTTTTCCTTTCTTCTCACTGCACTTTCGAACTTGTACTCGCACCCATGTTGTTGCTCGTCGCGATTTTCGTAACAATGGCGGGTCTATGGCCGCTCGGGTGTCTCCGTTGCTTTTCGGTCGGCTTCGTGAGAACCCGCGGCCGTTCGGGGCCCCTCGGCAAAGCATCATGGCCGTTACAAGCCGGGCGCGATGTGTAGTGTACCGCAAAAAACACTAACGTGTAAAAAACTATACCAAGTACAATATTCGATAGGGAATCATCTAAAGTGTGATTAATTATTAAATGACCATTAGGTCAAATAATTGTGTATGAGAAGCAGTATTAATACGAGTAGCGAAGGCGTTATAGGAAATTTGAAAATTACAATTTAAATGAAGGGCTAGTGTTGGGTCATACAATAAGTAGATATGTAGTGACTTACGTATCTTGGCAGTTTTTTAAACGTGTTCTTTGGGAGTATGTCTGGTAGCCATACTAAAGAGGACATACAAGTGCATATGCTGATAGTGGTCCGATCGATGAATTATATTAATAAGTGTATACATTAACACTTAGAAAGCAAGAAGCGTGGTGGGTAACAGTCAGAAGTGTTGGAAATTGTAAAATTTGTCGGAGTGCAAAAATTGTTACGCAGAAACCGCGAATGCGTGTGTGGGAAGGAGGGGAGGTCACTTTTGGGAGTGCTTAGGCTTTGAGCGGTCATTCCCTCACGAGCCGGTCACGTATACCAGTCTCTTGGACGACCCCGTCTTACCAGTTTGTATTCTTTTTTTCTATATTTATTTTCTGTTTATTCCTATACTCTTATTCCTTACTTTGCTAATATCATTTTTGTTTTCCTTTCTTATTTCTTAACTTATTCTTTACTTTCCTTATTGCTTTCTTTCTGCCTTCGTCTTTCCTTTCTGTTCTCGTTTACTTTTCCTTGTGCTTGTCTTACTTTTCCTATTTCTTTGATTGGGCTGAGCATGTTTCTTTGAGTAGTGATAAGAGGGTAGTTCATTCTGTTAGAGAGACACACGTGGACTATGGTGACGGAGGTTGCTCTTCCACCTCATCTGCTGAGTTTGCTCAGTGGGACCAGGTTGTGGTCGCAATATGGTCTCTCCGGACCTTCGGGGCCTTGAGGACCCTTAGGGTACGCTACGACCATAGTCTTGCGTGTGGTCAATCTAACCAGGTGTGTATCTTTCGCGATTTTAGTATAATTTTCTTCACTTTCCTAACAAGGCTTCCTGAAGGCTTCGCTGACCCTTGAGCACCTGTGTGGATGGAAAGCATCCCAAGTGTCGGTAGAGAGGTCGGAGGGGTAGTCCATTGGCTCTGGGCAAAGTAGCTGCCTTTGCTCGTGTTCCTGGGTTGGCTTCACTTGAAGTAGTATCGGTTCTTTTGATTAAAGTCCCTGCCGGATACGAGAGACTTTCCTGTTAAACTTATCTTTTGCGTCTTTCTTGTCGCCTGTCCCAGCTTCCTTTCGTTCCTGAGGTTTTTCCCCGCATCTTGGACGCAGGAGTCTCAGGACTCTGGGGCTTTTTTCCTCAATCCCCAAAACACGGTCCTCCGGTGGACCTCGGAGGGGTCGTAGCTCCTTCGTGAATAGGTAGGACCTCACGGAAATGGGCGGGGAGGGGCCCATTTCACAAGATTCTTTTCTACCTTCTTTATTATTTTTCCAACTTTGAAGTTCCTTCCCTTTATTATCTTGAACGTTTTCCTTCTTCCTGCAGATCATCCAACCAATGGTCAAAAGTTCAACTTTAAATGGCAGCTGGAGCTACAACTTCCACCTACATTCTACTCGCACGTCGGATCATCCCAATTTTTCTCAAGGTATATACCAACTCATTTTGAATTTATCGTTAGGTCATTGTCAGGTCTTCGGTATCTTTAATTCTATGAATTATTGGTACAATAAATTCGACTACTGACCGCTCAATTGATATATATACAACAATAAACCAGAGTACTATATTTGCTATAAATCGGCATTTCAGGAGAACAACAATCCAGGGATTTTCGTTTCAATGCTGTGGTGCATTCTGCTTTCTGACCATTAGGTGAAATCACTGGTAGCCACGTAAGTAGGATTTACATTTACGTATATAGTATATTCTACATATCAGAACCGCGCGACACAGATTACACGGGCATGTCTAGTCTACACGAATTCAATACGTTTTGTCAGAGAAATTCACAGAACTCCTCTACTTACCATAATTATTACACGTAAGTATTTTTCCTAAGAATATCATAAGTTCTAGCTACTCAACTATATATCAAAGCAGTTCCAACCACTGAAATTTATATCTCGGCACGAGACCCGACCGAATTTCTTGATACAGTACAGGTAAAATATAAACCTGGAATTTTTAAGGACTTCTGAAAACAATCGCGATTACACCTATATCTATTAATATTACAATAAATCTACATAAAGCATTGTACATCTAAAACAATACAAGAATTTGAAATATCTACGTTCAACTTGTTTACTCTACGTATACACGCAATAAAGACAATTGCATAACGCGACTGCCTTGCCCGAGTGAATAATTAAAGGTACCTATACAATTTGAATTTTCCCGCTCCACGAGATAAAAGCAAGTGAATTATATCTACGGTATGATAATAATTATGTGTACTACTTTAATCAATATTTCGTTTAAGAAATACGCGAATCATTGTACAACTGAGAAGTTAGCATCTTTGCGGTGGCAGCTCAAAACAAAGCCCATAAGGAACTATGGAATTGCGCTGGATTCAAAGGAAACTGTAATTTTATTTACAGTTGCCACCACCTGAAATGCTAATTTCACAATCGCAATCAATATATATACAAATCACATTAAAATCAGTCAAACTATCCGTAAAGCAGCACTTACCTAATAACTGAGGAAATACGGTGTATCCAGTGCCGTGATATCACGATATCTCGGCAATGTAAATATTTCTGTAATACGAGGGAAACGTGCGGGTACAATTCGAGCAGGAGAGACTGCGGACACCGAGGACAGAAGCCAGAACGGATGGTAGAGGAATTTGCCAGGAAACCGTCGAGGCGTTGACATTCTCTGGGCTCTGGGGCTCCCGTGCAACCTCAGCCCCTCTTGCTTTACAACCTAACCTCTATCGCTTGGCAGAAGAAGCACCGGAAGTACATAGGAGAAATACCCAGAAACAAATATCGTTGAAGCGATGTTCCTCGTAGGTTGATATAACGTTTACCGTAGTATTTGGTAACACGTGTGTCGCGCCGGTGCATTGCGGATCGTGTTAGGTTCTCGCCCAATTTACATGTATATGCCTAACCTGACCTTAATTTATATAGATCTATATCACAGTGACGCTCAGGTACCCATGTACGGTTACGCATAGTAACCCTAGGTACGTGTAAAATATGCATAAGCTATAGACACCAAAGTGACTTACCATACGGATAGATACTTGGATCTTTCAGGCTACTGCGTACTGACGCTGCACAAAGCACAAAGGCCGTCCTGTGCTCAGGTACAAAGCGTGACGCGGTCCGCACGGATGCCCACGTGCCGCGCACGTGGACCCGTGCTCTTTCCTCGACATGGAATATACTCGCGTTCAATATCTATACGTTCGTATCATTTGTCCGAAATGCGAGTACCGGATATATTGAAAGGGAATAGTCATATAGGTTTTATTTGAAAATATCTACCTTCGCGCACGATGCCGTCTGCTTTCGTTTCATAGGATATTTGAAATCCTTCTCCTTGGTGAACTTATATCTGACCTGGGCCGTGACAGTCGGTTTCTTCGAATTGCTATTCAGGATCAGCTGATTGCTCGCTCATTATACGATTCCACGAACGTAATATATCTTAGGTGTAATTTCGAAAAAATTTTCTTCACGGATACGTACGTTCACGTTTAAATAATTGGGCGGTTTCGAGTGAAATTTCCAAAAATTCTGTCTTTCGAATCGGATCAAATTATTTTATTTGTCCAATTCGAGCGGACGACTGGGAAGGTACAGAGAAGAGGGATATATTCCATCGAACGAGATAATAACGTCGAATCGACTATAGTTAGTTGTAATTACTTGAATTGCTCGTTAAATCGACTGATTAATTGCCTGCCACTGGCATCACTTCCTAAGCAGTCAGATAGTAAAGTTACATTTGATTATGGCCATAGCTGATTGATTTAACGCAAAGCCATTCGGCATCCAGATGGCCAAACAGTAAGAACGGTATTAAAGCTGAGCTTCATTTAAAATCGATCGCGCGATTCGCGTGTATGACGCATCGTAAAGTTCAATTGCTTCTAGAAACCATTGATCATTCACTGGTTCGACCAGATCCCCGCTTTGTGTCACGACCGAGCAAACCCCTCGAGCACTACTCCCTCCCTGCTGGCCCAGCTCGGGTTTCGCAGCGTGAAGGCCCGTCCTCTTTTCGATATACATTTCCTCCAGATATCGCTCTAATACGGCGTCTACACTATAAAACGCAATTATCTTGAGAAACGTCAACCCTCCGTCGTAGCTTCGAGCTCAGTGTCAGGTGGGCGATACAGTGGGGGGTAGGAGCTTTTGGTGCCTCGAGGATACCTTGGCAATAGATCTACCCCTAACTCTGAAGTATAGACCAGGGGTGGTTACGTCCATCTCTCTCTCTCTGACTCACTCTACACTTTCATAACCTCTTAGAACGTTGACTCTCTTCCTAACTTTCCTTCGCTTTCTCCAGCTGGCTGACGTTCTTCCAGCTGCCCCCCCCACCTGCCCCTTTCAAGGACTGTCGTCCGTTACGCTATGGGGTAGCTTGCTGAGGCACCCACACACACCCTTGCAAAAATACTCTGACGTGACGGGACTCGCGACGACTCCGACGCGTTATATAAATTCTGCGGACATGATCTTTTTTACAAAATCTCCCCATTTACATAATTGATGTAATAATTCGATACTCCGGAGAAATCCGTGGACACGTCGGAATACGAATATTCTGGTAAAATACAGACGTCAAGGAGAGTGACAGGGCGGGAGGGTCCCTGGGTCGTATGTACCCACCCGTCAGACTCTTAACGGAAGTTCAAATGTCACTAGCACGTGACAAGGACATAGGGGTAATTTCGTTTGGAAGAAGAATAACTTGGTTTCTCTTTGGTCGGACTGGCTTCTACGCTGATGAGGTTTCACGTGTAAAACTTGGCCCCGGCCTCTCCCGTTTAATCTTCATGGCGATTGCGTGGGGCCCCGAGTTCCACGAGTTTAAACTTCCCGCGAAGCAATCTTCGGTGCAACAATGCCACTCGGCTCGCGTGGGAATTCTCAAATGAGATTAGGAACCGGCGTAACGTTGACGCGAAGACCGATAGGAACTTCAAATTCAGTTTTACCAAAGAGAGGCTCTTACGGTTTCTCGTTGTCTTTCGCGCACTGGGATAGAACGATAACGACGATAACAAAGGGGGGGTCGGTAGAGCCCGCGGTCCAGGGTCAGACGTTACTTAAACGGATCATACCGCAAAGGGGCATACCAGTGAGAAAATATCAGGGATGAAAGGAAAAGAATGAGGGAACGTAGTATATGGATATATGACGATTCCCTTTGAAGTCACATAACAATGCCACCCGTGTGACGTAACGGGGAGGGAGGGATTGGACTGTGGAGGGGTGGGGGTCAAAGTTGTACAGAACGGGGACGAAATAGAAGAAGAGGCTACTTCAAAGTAGGATAATGACAAGATTCCCGGATTCACTATTTCTTTTTTTTTTTCTTCTTCTTTACCGGAAGTACGTCAAGAATAAATTCATCGCACGGAATTACCGGGGTGCCGTTTCTCTTCGAATTTTCGTAAGATTGCTTTTGGCATGATGGAGTAAAGTAATGGCACGGGAAAGGGAGAGAGCGAGAGGAGGGGGAAGGTGGTCGTGAGTGTACCTGAGGGAGAGGCGAATAGCAAAGGAATGAGAGGGAGGGAGAGAGAGAGAGCGCGAAAAAGAGCAGAAGGGAAATAAAGAGTAAGTGACTAAAAGCTCGCGCAGAACGAAGTAGATCTCGAGAAGAAGCGAGAAGGAGTCGTGGACATTAGGCGAAGGAGGAGAAGGAAGAATAGCAGGAATAAGGATATAAGAAGCGAAGAAGGTCGAAGGACCACTTGGATTCCCTCGTTCTAGCCGTTTTCCTTCATTGGACCATGTCCATTACATTCTCGAGGAGTTTCCACGTGTACACAGTGCATAGGAGCTAACAGGGAGCATTGACGTGTGACGGTCTCAAATCCCATTTTCTACTGGCAATTGGCAGGATAAGCCGAGCTCCTTGACCCGATACGTCCTAATCCATGCCACTGGATACATTTTATACAGCGCACTTGGCGCAGTGGTTTAGCCCGCTTGACAACTTAGTTTAGCGGGAACGTGTCGTTTCGGTCGGCAACTGATTTAACCGTGACTACGATCGAGCTGCAATTGCTTGGGAAGATTGCTTTCCAGTATATATATATATATATATATATATATATATATATATATAAAAATAAACATAACGCCACAGTAACGTGGACTTTGATTACCTTACGAAATCATAGCCAAATCTTCCTCGTACGTTGTTTAGGGTCCGGGGAGTGCTTTGCTTCTCAGTCTCGAGTCTCTCGAGGTGAAACGGTATTATTTACCGGCAAGGTCTCATTATACCTCGGTGGCTGGTAAGATACGCACGTGGGGGGAGAGTCTCATTTCCAAGCAGGCTGTCACCGGTAATCCAGGACCGCGAATACCTTCTCCATCTTGGTCCATTTAGGGATTCAACGAATTTCGGGGGGATACGTCGTTTGCTCCTTTCTCTCGTTAACAAGTAGATACCATAAAATCATTAGGGACGGATTCGAAATGTTCGAGGGAGAGGGTGCGAATCGCCCTTTTGAGAAATAGCCCTTGCCCCTTGACTTCTCGTTGGGTCGAGAACTCCTGAGATGATAATCTAACCGGAAATCGGACTTGGTCCTCCAGTCTATCCAAATGCAGATACGACTTTAGCTTTGGCCATTGTTGCCGGGGCATTTGCGAAATAGCACAGCGCCAAAGTTATGGGAGCGCTACTGTGTGCTTCCGATCGATAACCTTACGCCGGTTTTACCTCTGGGTGGCGAAGTTTAAATTTATAATTAGGAGCGATTAACGAGTGTACAAAATAAAAAGAGTATATATATACACGTGTTTATGTGTGTCACGTGCCATTTCGCTTGAACCTTCGAAGTTCTGGTACTCGACGTGAAAACATTTCTAGTTTCAGAGACTTTCGTTATGCATTACTCGTATACGTGTATCGGGGGGTTTGGTTTTGTTGGGGGGTTTTTTTCTTCCTTTTTTTTTTTTCGTCAGATATCGGTAAACGCATATCGTAAACGTAGGAAACAGATTGGAAAGAAATATATTTCTCGACGGTTACTCGACGAGTTCTTTAGGCCTTGCTTACCCATATGTGTATATGATATTTATGCATATACAGTGGTACACGTTGTGGAATGTCGATGGTTCGAAAAGTAATTCCAAAGCGGTGTACAAAATTCACCTATGTACGACGATCGATGTCGTTTACCAAAATGGTACGAGACTGTCGATGGGAATTCGATATTTCTAGTTAGAAATATTATTGAATCCGCTTTGTAGCTGGCGCGAGTTATTGATTCTTATCGAATCGTTACTTTATTTCAGTTTTTTTTTGCTTTCCATTCGTTCGAACAAAATTGTTCGGAACTCTCATTCATGATGGACGCTATCGGTGAATTTATCAAATTAATTAGATGGGTATACATGGATAATTTTTTTTTTTTTTTTCAATTTGCATTAAAACGGCAATCGGGAAGAACTGAATTGAATATAAATATATGGTATATAAAAAGCGCGGAATTTGTATTTTCAATTCCCATCAATAATCCGCTGTACTTTGTATAAAATATAAATGAAGCTCCTGCGGGTGCGAGGAGGATGAAAAAAAAAATAATAATAATAACGAAAGTTTCATTGAATATACGTATATACATTGCCCATATACTTTTTATAGCGTTTCTCAATTTCATTATATTCCATAATTCGCATATATACCTGTAGAAACGAATTTTCCGAAAAACCTTTTACACACGGGTTTCTTATAATTGCAAAGCAAAGTGTCGCAGGAGGTCTCTCGCGGCCTTGTTAAAAATTATATGAAAACGCGTAGAGTCCTTTTTAAATTTGAAAGCGGATCCGAATAATTGTCACGTGCTTAAAATAAATATTGAGCTTGGCTCGTCGCCGTCCCTGGTCTCGGTTGCCAATTCGACGGCGTCGAATTTTCGACGGATCGACGTGGGATCGGCGAGGGACACGACGCGAGTAGCCAGGCGCCGGTATATACAAATATATAGGTATACGTACACGGTCAAATATTTTCCTATGAAAATCCACCGAAAAACGGCCTTACCTCGTGCAAGTTAATATCGCATCGTGAAAAGGCGACGGGCACAGGTCGCAGATATGAAGAAACACTGCGCGCGGCTCTCTGTACATTATAAAAGCAATATGCCGCCGAAGCATCCCTTTTATGAATTTGCGAGCGAACCGTAACGAGTTCTAATGACGCAGGAATAGAGAGAGAGAGACGTAAGCGTATAAGCGGCGAGTAAAATGTTATTAGCAAGTAAATTTCTCGTTAGGGAAAAACTCATGGGAGTTATTATTAGCCCCGTCTAAGGAATAATCGTAAGACGTCAAAAAAAGAATTCGCAATAGTCATTCTGAAAAGGTACGCGATTTCCTGTCCCTCCTTACCCCCCCCCCCCCCCCCCCCCCCCCCCCCACCCCCCCCCCCCCCCCCCCCCCCCCCCCCCCCCCCCCCCCCCCCCCCCCCCCCCCCCCCCCCCCCCCCCCCCCCCCCCCCCCCCCCCCCCCCCCCCCCCCCCCCCCCCCCCCCCCCCCCCCCCCCCCCCCCCCCCCCCCCCCCCCCCCCCCCCCCCCCCCCCCCCCCCCCCCCCCCCCCCCCCCCCCCCCCCCCCCCCCCCCCCCCCCCCCCCCCCCCCCCCCCCCCCCCCCCCCCCCCCCCCCCCCCCCCCCCCCCCCCCCCCCCCCCCCCCCCCCCCCCCCCCCCCCCCCCCCCCCCCCCCCCCCCCCCCCCCCCCCCCCCCCCCCCCCCCCCCCCCCCCCCCCCCCCCCCCCCCCCCCCCCCCCCCCCCCCCCCCCCCCCCCCCCCCCCCCCCCCCCCCCCCCCCCCCCCCCCCCCCCCCCCCCCCCCCCCCCCCCCCCCCCCCCCCCCCCCCCCCCCCCCCCCCCCCCCCCCCCCCCCCCCCCCCCCCCCCCCCCCCCCCCCCCCCCCCCCCCCCCCCCCCCCCCCCCCCCCCCCCCCCCCCCCCCCCCCCCCCCCCCCCCCCCCCCCCCCCCCCCCCCCCCGATACGTTCGGTTAGTCGCGCGACACGAATGCGAATTGCAGTACAGCGTGACAGAAAACTCGGAGAATTCACTCTGCCGATCGAAGAGACACCGGGTGATGCTACGTGGACGTAGAAGAATGAAAAACTAGAGATGTTGGGATAGAGACAAGGAGGAATGGCGACAGGACGTGGTCGAGGACGAGGACAGGGAGGAGAAAGAAAATAAATAAAACTAGAGTAACAGAGATACCGATAGAGAATAAGAGAGTCGAATAGAGAGAGAAAGAGATCAAGTGGAATTCTCGTTCAAAGTGTAATTACCCAGTGGAGTCGTCTCAACTTTCCTTGGCACCTTTCTGTTTTAATTTCCAGCCAGTCCTCCTTTACCGACGGGGAGCCACTGTCCTCCTCACCCTATAATCCACCATTATTCAAACCGCCGGATTCGTCGCACGGTAGTCATCGTTCGGTTGGCGCGTACATACCTGGGTCCGTCGTCAACAGTCGCCGTTGCCCTTGACGCGGTAGAACGTCGCATTAACGAAATTGAGAAATGAACCTTGCGACACGTGCCATTGACGCTTACGGACCGCGACTCGTCGGGTTGGTAATACTGTACTCCATATTTTAGTATCTCTCGGACACGCAGCACGTGATTAATCATCAGCAATACGGAATTGGTACGGGAATGACACTGCCCGTATCTCAGGGCCCGTGATATACGCACTTAATCGGCAGCGCCATGACACCGAGCGCAACGGAAGATGCGCGGCGGTCGCCCGAACTGGAAGCGCTCGGCGCAGATCGAAGCGGGAAATTTTAAAAGCTAACTGCACGAAGTCTAACGAACTTTCGAAGAAAAACGTTAACGAGGTGTCTGAAGTTAATCGCGTGTAGAAATTGAAAAGGCAAACGGCATCTGGCAGCATATACTTTTGATTAACAGACCTTTAGATATTACATATATATATATATATATGGTATAACTTTGTGGAAATTATGTACACGGAGGCATTTATAGTTTAAAAGGAGAAAGAGGAGTGACACGTCTAATGCAGACGTTACTACGTACCTTCGTATAACGCTGGGCCGCGAAGCTGTGTATTTCACGTTCGTTAAAAATACTTTACATCGTGATCGAAATTCCAAGCGGTATACGGAATAAAAGATGATGCTTATTCCGTCTACGTCGAGGGTTTCATGCGGCGGATGTTAACAATGGTGACAGACCAGAATACGTTTACCAGATCGTTCCGAGGGACTTGGGCAGATGTACATGCCTGTTCATAATTCTGACGGAGTATAGAATTTCCAGTTTGTTCGAAGTAACTACAAAACCTTCGTGCAAACACCCATGTCTGGTTATACTCACGTTCGTCATATATCCGTATATTCGTCGACGACGAGGAGAGCGCGAGGGTGGCAGCCAAGAGCAAAGGGAAAGGCAAGAGGAGACATAAAGGAGCAAGAGTGAGACGCTTATATATACATAAGAACCGAGAGAACACAGGACAGAGTCGTCGACATGATATCAGTGCTCGTACGTTGCATTCGAATGGGAAGTCATCATTAATTAAAATATGGAAAAAGGTTACGGAAATGCTATACACGGAATGTATAAAAGATTCTCATTTAACCGAAGCTCCTCTTACAAACTAGTAGAGTCTAACAATGGCTGAAGATCCGATTACATTTGCGCGCAAGGCGTGTATCTCTAGCTATGCGTCTCTAGTAGATATATATACATACACACGTGCATATTAAATGCATACAGAACCGCAAAAGCGTGCATTCATAATTGCGCGACGGTACGCGAATTTGAAAAAAAAAAAAAAAAATTAATAAAAAATAATAAAACCCGGATAACAGTTAACTGCTTAGTAACATGCTGCAAAGATCGTAGTATGCAAGTCGCGAGTGACCAAATAAAATATACGACTCGTGCAGCTGCAGCTGCGGCCGTAAGGATCGGATCGGGTTTTCGATAAGGACCCTGGCGGATTTAAAGGGTTTGGATTTTACTTGGATAATATAAAGTGTTATGACGTCACGCCGTTGACGTTACGGCCCTTGGCCAATCGGATTGGCCACTCTGTTTATATCGATCGAAATAGTAAATGCGGTACGTGCAAAAGATGCTCATTTAACCGATAGGTACCAACCGCCACATGCACTGGCTGTTAACAACGGCAGCAGACCTAAATACATTTGCATAATTCGAAGTTGCGCGCGTGTCTGTCTATGGGACCGCGAGTGCATGTGCACTATTTATACGGACGCGTATTCAGAATTCAGTCCGGCTTGAATACACACAGGACCGCATGCGAATTTCCAATGTAATTTCTACGTGGTTGGTACTTCGGTTTGAACATTGAAATTATACGAAATATAACGTAACCGACGTGACGTCATAGGACGAGGAGGCGAGATCAAAAATTAAAAGAATTATTGAACGTCCTTCGATCCTTTAACTCGATGACGACTGGAATCATCGGCTCTTCGTTGTATTTTGTATTAATTCGTCGCGCGTTTTCGGGCGGATCGACGTGACGATGAAAAAAAAAAGGTGACTAAGGGGAGTGCGAGAATGGCGGGAGATTCGAATTTTTAATCTGATCGAGAAAATTGATGGGATCGTATATGAGGAAAATCATCGAAAGAATTTTCCAGCCTTCTTACCGTCAATGTTTGTATGAACTCTAGGAATAATCTTCTTCGCGAAATAAAAGGACGAATTGGTTTTACGAGTAATAATGTCAGATAAACTTTTATGATTCTTCAGCAAATTTACATACCCCGACACAGACGTTGAGTCTTTGAACGTTATATTCTTATGCTTTGAGAAGCCAAACTCGTCTCTCTCTCTCTCTCTCTCTCTCTCTCTCTCTCTCTCTCTCTCTCTCTCGACGGGGCTAGAAAATATTTCTGCAAACAGTAGCAGCGCGTATACCTCGCTGTACATAAAAGTCTTTTCTACTTATATCTGTATATCCTTGAATTCTCCAGGTTCCCGTTTTCCCTGTTACATATTTCTCGAAAGTCCTTCAACTTCCCTCGTGCACGCTGCAGTGCAGTTTCGCATTCGCGTATACTTTCGACCATCCAGTGCACGGGGACAGGGTGCTACCTAAAGAGCAAGATGGACGCCGCCGAGGCAAGAATAAAGACAAAGTAGTCGAGTGGGAGCGGGAGGGAGCGGGAGGGAGCGCGAAGGAAAGGGACGGTAGATTGAAAAGGGCGGAGGTATCGAGGCCGATTAAATTATCTCGGTAAATCGGGGAAAAGGCGATCGGATCGAAAAGTTGCCTGTTCAAGTGGCCGTCCGAAAGTATCTCATTCTATCTATCTATCTTTTACTGGTGGCTTCACGGCTCGAGTCACGATTTCACTTGGACCAATCCCACCAGGATGCTTTCATCTATTTTCTCGGAAGTAGCTACCTCTTGCGCTATAGAATAACGTTCCCTGAACTTTACGAAAATAAAGCTTGGCGAGCGTACAGCAGGGGCGAAGGGGGTAGGTACATAGTTTTGGCAGAGGTTGAAGTACACTGCGCAATATATATATATATATATATATATATATATATATATATATATATATATATATCACCGCTGCCGCTGCTATACTAGACACCCAGCATAACCGCATATACAAGACCGCCCGACCTTATCCCCCTAATTTCTTTTTCTCACGCGTGACTCCCGAAGCGCCACGTGGAAAGTTCGCACCGGGTTGGTGGGGGGTGGTGAAAATTTGCGAGCATTAAAGTTCCAACTTCCAGAGGGGGCTCAGGTTTATTTTGTCACCAGGGATTCTCCTTTCTGTCTCATACCCGTCCGCCACTCAACGTCATCAGCTGGGAGGGTCCTGGCCCACTACCGTATACTATCAGGACCCCTGGCACCCCTCCGACCCTTATTGATTTACTGCAAGCATAACAGCCGGCATTAAAATTTGACCGTACTTATTTTGCAGATGCGTTCCTTCGGGATTGCTAGGCTAAGGAGGGTGGTCAGGGGTCGCCCGCCCTCCTCTCCGCCCCTGGAGGGACAGGGTACTCGGTGCTCGTAAAGGATATCGAGGGGAAGATGGGAGCAGAAGACGACAGGTGTGCGATCGATCGTCTGCCCGTAATATCGCAAAAACCCAGGTGGGGGGGGGGTGTACCATACCCCCCCTCTCCATCCAGAAGCCAGTAGCGTCTGCTGCCGGTAGTAATCGGGCGTCGGCGACGGCGTCTACCAGGACCCAGTGTTGCTGCGTCCTCCCGGGTGGTCTCACGAGGACGCGAACGAGGACTGGAGCAGGAAGAAACCTCGAGAGTGGAAATTAACGCTGCTGAAGGTTAATACGGCGCGGCTGAAGAAGCAAATATTTCTCTTTCGCCATCGCCTCGAAGCGTCCCCTATTTCAGGTTGATTGTACGGATAGGAGAGAGAATGAAACGAAGACGGATGGTATTGAGGTTATAACTCAGGTTGCTTGATGAGAACTCTTTAATCAGCTCAGGAATAGGATAGGCGTGATCCATTATTTACTGCCCTATTTTATATCCCAGCCTCCTCCCTTCATCCTGAGGCCCATAAGTCAGTCTTTAGGCAGGTTTTCGCTATGTTCGCGCCACTGCGATCGGGATGGTCCGTTGCTAATTTTTTATTTGGAAATTCACGCGGTGCCGCGGATCGGGCTTGTCCGCTGGTCGCTTGGCTGAACGGTTCTCGTTGAGAATCTCTTTTTTTTTTGCCGGGATGGTCGCGGGTCATTGGAATTCAATTTTGCCAAATTATACATCGCTATTTATGGCGAGTTGGTTTCCTGTTTTTTTTTTTTTTTTTTTTTTTTTTTTTTTTTTTTTTTTTTTT